TTTATCACTTTTGTTACCTTGATTTTTTATCACATATGTATATTTTTGATAAGGATTAATCATGTTTTTTTTCTAAAGTGTGATCTATCAATAGCAAAATTGATTTTTAGTTCTAGAGCCTTGTCAAGTTTGGCTTTAAGAGTTCTAACCTCCTTTTTCCAAATACGACTAGTATCACACCCAAAGTTTAATCATCTACTTCTTTCTTCCTTAACATCTACCTTTATTACTTCCACCATGGATGCTTTGAGAGCCTCCAATTCCCTTTCGGAATTGGAGATCTTTTTCTCCAAGTGAGTAAAAAAAATTGTTTGAGGCCAACCGTTTAAAGGCTTCCTTGGCTTCATGGTGTAAGATGTCAAAGGCATGTTGTAATTCAGAATGAGACAGTTTAGTAAAGTTTTCATATTTAGCATTCGTACCTTTTTATTTTTCTTCTTTTGATGAGCGGAGAGACAAAGGTTGCCATACTCTTCTTTGTCACATGAACTATCATCCGCGGATGACTCACTATCGCTTTCCCAAGCGATGTAAGCTCTTCTAGGCTTACCTTGTTTCTTTTGTGAGCGATTACTTTCCTTTTCTTAGTCCTTCTTCATCAATGGACAATCCGGCTTATCGTGTCCGACTTTTGCATAATTAAAGCACGACCCTTTTTCTTTACTCCCCTTATTGCTTTCATTCTTGGAAGACCTTGATTGTCTTCTAAAATTGACGAGATTCTTTTTGGAATGTTGGATACCATTCTTCTTTACATAGCAATTGTATCACTTCACGAACATCCCCATATCCTTATTCGTTTCTTCATCATCGTCATCACTCGAGTTGTAATCACTTAGATCTTTTGTGGAGGACTTTGAACAAGAAGCTTTTAGAGCTATAAATTTCTTTTCTGTAGTTTTGGTCTTTTCCTTCTTTTCCTTTTTCTCAAATTGCTCGAGACTAAGAAGCACTTGCTCATGTTCTTGGAGCTTTCTAAAAAGAGTTGTAAGATCCAAAGTCATAAGATCATTTGCTTCCTTTATGGTCGTGACCTTTTGTTGCCACTCCCTGGTAAGACATCTTAAAACTTTGTTAGTAGCAACATCATTGGAAATTGGTCTACCAAGTGAATTTAGTCTATTGAGTAAGTGAGAAAATCTCTTTTGCATGTCGGCAATGGTTTCCCCTTGCTCCATATGAAATAGATCAAACTCTTTAGTCAAAGTGTTGGTTCTAGCTAGTTTGACATCATTAGTTCCTTCATGGGCAACTTGCAACGAGTCCCACATAGCTTTAGCAGTCATACAATGTGAAACTCTATAATACTCATCAACTCCCAAGGAGGAGATCAAGATATTTCTAACCTTCCAATCATAATTATACTTTTTCTCATATTCATCATTCCATTATGCTTCAGACTTAGGCACAACAATGTTATTTTCATCGGTCATGGTGATTTCCATAGGACCGTTCAATATAACGTTCCATACCTTTCTGCCAATGGAATTTATATGCACGCACATACAATCTTTCCAGTAACTATAGTTCTCACTGTTGAAAACAAGTGCTCTATTGTAAGCCCCTTTTGGTTCATTTGCCATATTCTAAGAAGTTATATGTGAAGCACAGAATAAACCGGTGCTATTGATACCACTTGTTAGACGACAAAAATGATCTAGAAGGGCGGGTTGAATAGATCACTTATTTAAAATAGAGTCGATGCTTAATATAATTTGATTTTTAAAAGTTTTAAGCGGAAGCGGTCGTGGAACTATACTCATCTAAACGAACCGTTACTGAAGAGATCAGATATACACTACGCCTATATAGAATACCGATAAAGACGAGAATTAGAATCAATAATTTGAACAAAAATCAATAGGATTTTGTTCACTCAAAGTTGGACAATTTCTAATGCTTGTGAAATATAAACCAAATTGAAAAACAGCTCAAGTGTTTGTATTCACGCAATTAGTCAAACACTTGGTGTACGAAGCACCTCAAGTAAAATTCAATAAGTGAATGAAGTGCTATGCTTTTCCGATTACAATCAAACGGATTGTAATGAGATTTCTAAAAACGTTTCAGCACTAACACATCAGAATTTTAATCAACTAATATGTTTGCACACAAACTCAAAATTCTGCAATGAAAATAGTAAAAAGAGAGAACACCAATTTGTTGAGGCAGTTCCCCCGTTGTCCTCGCTCGGGGTACGTCTGCCCTCAATTCTAAAACTAGAATTGAGACTTGTATATATAATCTGTTGCAAATTGTTTTTACAAGAGAAGCAATAGAATTCAAACACTCAACACTAAACATTGATGTTGAGCCTATGCCTTCTCTTCCCTTGATTCAAGATGAATCAAGTCCTTCGAACATGATGAGTAAACCTCCGATTACGACACCACTTTTGAACAACCCTCTGGTCTTTAAATCTTGCCCGACTGATTTCAAACACCAACAATTCAAACCCAAACCTTCCTTCCGCAATCCTCCGGTTAACACTACTAAATTGACAGAACCTCCCGTTTTTCAATTACCTTCGCTTGGCTGAATCTGTGAAGGAACGATTTGTGCAAAAACCCCAAAATCCAAGATTCTTGAAGGACAAAATCCTAAAGGTTTTATTCAAGAAAAACCCACTGATTTCTCAACCCAAACCCGATACACCGATCCTAAGTTTGAAGGTTATCACCTCAATGATGCAGAATGCACAACAGAAATGATTATGTGTAGTTGTTGAGAAAATGTAAGAAAGAGGATGAAGATGATGAGAACCAAATCAATGTATATTCACTTTTCTTGTTATTTTTTTGTAGAATGAACTAACTCAATATATATGCAACGTTGAAACCAAATAACCAACATAACAGCCACTTTGAATGGTAAACATAATAGAATTTTCATGAGAAACGAGGGAGCGGTCGATCTAAAATAAAAGGGGGGGGGGGGGGGGGTCGACCTGAGCTCTCTCGAATTCAGGATTATGTAGAAAAATGCTCTTTGCATCGACCGAAATAGGTCCATGCGTCGATGCAAAGCACTCTATTTTTGACAAACACAAATGCACACAATATGAGTTGACCGGAAGGTCGATGCGAGCTCTCTTGAGAGCAAAACATGAAAATTGGCTTCTGTATGAGTCGACCTAAGCAAGTTATGAGTAGACTCAAAGATTCAAAACTTGCAAAAATACAGATTTTGATATGTTTGGCTACTTCTAAGTGTTTCTAATGCATCTCTAACTCGACCAACGTGATCAAACTCATATAGAACACATATAGTGTTTTTCTTATATGACTCCAGACACATTTTGACAAATGTTTGACACTAGAAAGATAACGTATGCATATGCGACTCGATGATACCGTCCAAAGTACACTTTTCTAACTATATATGTTTTGACATCATTAAAATAAATATAACCAAGTATGAGGCACTTTGCCCTCACACAAAAATCCTAACTAATTGATCACAAATCCATCTCAGACAGAGTTTTCACATGGCAAAGGAAAGGGGAAAAGGAATTGACCTTTAGTAAATTTGAGGGAAGACCTCATAAATTCTCACAAAATTCAAGACTTCAATTTTAAAATCACACAAATATATTTTATTCCGTTGTAGAAGTAAAGATGATGATGGTTGCAGAAACTACAACGAAATAATAAATATATTCAATTTTATATTATTGAACAACAAAAATCTCCATAAGACAAAAGCTCACAAATGAATTGAAAATTATACCTTATATGATTAGATATTGAAAGAAAAAAAATTAGACTCAAATTTAATTTATATTTTGGTGTTCTAGATTTTAAGATAGAGGATAAAAAAAATTTAAAATTAAGTTAATATCTATTAGCGACAATTTTTTCGGTGGTTAAATTAATCCCAAAAAATTAATATAGAGTCCCATTTGTCATATCAACAAAAATTAATATCACATGTCATTTATCATATCAACACAAATTAACAATTAAATGAAAGTAAGATGAAAATAATTGGCGTAGTTTAATTTTAAGAATTAAGTGAATAAAACCGTCTTTTAAATATTAAAGAATCAAACTAGAGATAGGTCAAAAATAAGAAAAAAAGAGTAATAAAACCTTTAAACTATTTTGAACATTATCTTTGGTTAAAAAACAAAAGTACACAACTCAGTACTCTATGAATACAACAAGTTGAAGTCGGACTGAACTCAACTGGACGGATAACGAAAACATTACCGAGTCCGCAGCCGGAGTTGCCATCGCAGTTAGAAACTCCGCCGGAAAAAGCCGTTAGAAAGTCATCCAGGTTTTCCTTATCCTCTTCTGTAGCGCGCCAGAATGCAATTCCACCGCTATTCGCGGCCACAGTAGCAGAGAATTGCGCGCTAAACCGGTGTCAATTGAAGACATAGGTTGCACTAAATTATTCTAATGTATGCACTAATTCCTCTTTTGTTCAAGGTTTTGGAATTAAAGGATTTTGCGCTAATTTGATTTGATTTTACGCTTATAGTAACTATTTTGGATGATACCCTATATATGCTGTTCAAACTCTGTTATAATCATCACAAATAATGTTATAAGAATCACAAATAGTTTATGATTGTCATTTTCACTATCATCGTGGATTTTTTTTATAGTTTTCAAAGTGTCTACTTATGTGGAAAATTATTACCTAATCATGATTAATCCCTTTTAGTTTAGTTTGAATAAATACTCTCTAGTGTTAAATATCGCTCATGATGAGCGGGGGATGATTGCGATGGCGTATTTTTGTACAACCGGCATGGCCAATTTGCGAAGGTTGGCGGCGCCATGGGGTTTTATGGAGGGTTTTTGACTTTCTGTAGTTTGCAATCAAGAACACTATATGCTCTTAATATAATGATTTTTAGTTGTTCGACAGGTACAGTGGAAGGTGGAGGCGTATTAAAATGAAGGAGGCCCAGACCTAGTTATAACGTAAACAAATTGTAGCGTGCATCAGACACAGGGCAAACCATATCTCCAAATTTGAATAGAGCAATGCCTATAACAATTGGGAGCTCAATTGTATCCCCAGTACTCCTCTCAAGGACTTGTTTGGTAATGTTTTCTTCATCATTAGATAAAAAAGCGATTGCTTTGTTTGATACAATACAATTCATATCATCGTTGTCTTTTTTTATTTATTAAAACGACAGACTAAGCTAGATACCACAAGAGCTTTTCTGTTGGGGAGTAAGTTCTCGACAATCGCAATAACTCTCTCTCCGAAGGTATAACAATTGCTTCAGAAAATAATATAATTTAAATTGAATTTCATATTTTTAGCTTTGAAAAAATTGAAATATTGTTTTTAATCGCAGAAAAGTTGTATTTCCTGCACTCTTGTCCGATCGAAATTGAGTCCAAATGTTGGTGGTCCTGTTGAGAAGAATAAGTAGGTTATTGATTCATTTTTTCATTTTGTAATTTTGCTACGTACTCATCTTCTAATAAGTGTTTGGTTGTGGGAATAAACTCTTTTATTTGGAATGCAGAAAAGGGAAGAAAATAGAACACCACTTGTGGAAAAGAAGAGATTCAGCCCAGTCAGGCCAAAAGGCACTCACTCTTGTCAGAACTGTATGTTCACCTATCCATTCATTTTTTTTCTTCGTTTTTTTTGTTAAGAATCTTTGATTTGAGTAAGACGGTTAGAAAATTATATTTTTTGTTATTTGTGTGCATGGAATTTTAAGATAGGAGAGAAAATTATGAAAAATTTGTATACCGAGAGACTAAATAAGAAATCCTAGCTGTGTATTTAGATAGTTAGCATTGTTTTAGTAATCAATCTGTATGCCCAGAAAATAACTCGGAGATCCCAGCTGTTTAAGTGCAAAATCAATATATAACATCTGGATTAAATTTTTTACTAGGGAAAGAGATGTACTAGTGATAATAATACCTTTTGAGAATGATTAGAGATGGATCACACTAACTGGATTGAATTGTGATTAAAGCTCTGGCAAGTCTTTCATTTCAAGACCATGGAGCCTGTACAAGGCCATAAGTGCCTTTATTTGATTTTCATATCGACTGTTTATTTTATGGCTCAAAACTTTCGTGGCTAAGGTTTGTAGACCTCTTCAATATCACCATTTAAGAAATCATTATCATCATCAATCATCTATGCGGTGAGAATGAATAGAGATGGATACCCTTACTGGGCTGAATTGTGTTTAAAGCTCTGGCAAGTCTTTCATTTCAAGCCCATGGAGACTGTACATGGCCATAAGTGACTTTATTTGATTTTCATATCGACTGTTTATTTTATGGCTCCAAAGTCTTGTTGCTAAGGTTTGTAGACCTCTTCAATATCACCATTTAACAAAGCATTTTTATCATTAATCATCTATGTGGTGAATAGGCCGGTGAAAGGAGAGAGACATAGCGAGAAAAATCTGAACAACAACTTTCACAGCAGGGGAGAAAGTCTCAAAGCTATCCCAACCTGGATTTTGATTAAAACCCTTTGCGACACACTTGACTTTGTACTTGTTTATGGGTCCATCTGAATTTTCTGCCAAAACATCCCACTTTTGACAAATGTAAATTCTTTTAGCAGGATAAGGCCACTAAGTCCATGTATTGTTAGCTATTAAATCATTGGATTCAGATGGCGTAGATATATTACAGTGGGGCATGATTAAGGTTTGTCTGACAGAAGTAGGTTCCAATGTCATTAATAACAGTATAGGATGAAGATATGGTTTTACTAAACCAGATTTAGATATGGTCTGCATAGGGGGAATGGATTTTGTGGAAGGAGGAGATTCACGAGTAGAAGAATCTCCCATGGACAAAGCCAATGAATTATACGAATGAGATTTTAGACTTGAGAGGGAGGAATTTGTAGTGGAGGAAGGAAGATGGACTTGAGAGACCAGCTGGTTTGGCCAAGTTGAGAAGAATGGAAGAATTTGGCCTAAAGTGACGGGAACACATTTAGGATTATATATGGGCTGTGATTGGTTTCACATTTAGCAGAATATAGAAACACATGTTAATAAAACACGTCCTTAGACGCATAGTTATGTCATTAGTAGATATTTTTGTGAAAATTCTAAATTTGCCCCTAATCTGTTTCAAGAGCCATTTCTCATTGTTTAGTTTTAGTTCAGATGATGAACTAACATGATTAAAAATTGAAATTGTTTCTGATATGGATTGAAGAAAATTAGAGTGTATGTGGAGAATACTTTGTAGGATGAAAGTCTAAATAGATAGCATTTGTAGGATGAAAGTCAAAATAGATAGCATTATCTTTAGCAGACTTGCTAGCACTAATGAAATTTCATTTTTTAGTGATTGATGCACTAGAAACACTTATAGTAGACAAGATGGTGGAAACTAGAACTAGGTGGTTTGGACATGTAGAGAGAAGACCTGTGGATTTTATAGTAAGGAGAATAGATCAATTAGAGGGTAGTCAAATCACTAGTGGCCGAGGAAGACTTAGAAAAACTAAAAGAGAAACTATTAAAAAAAAAATCTAGAGATAGATAGAAATATAGTTTATGATAGAACATTATGGCATTGTTTATCCATGTAGCTGATCCCACTTTGTGGGATAATGCATAGTTGTTGTTGTTGATGGACTAGAAGCAAATTCTAAAGAGAGAAGTGAACATTGGAATGGAAAGGTGACACTAAAAAATTGCTACCATTAGATGTGAGTGGCTAACCTTAACCAATCTTGCCTAGATTGGCGGCATCCATGGGTTGTTGTGGGTCACCTGTATGATGATGGCTTGCACACGAGTCGTCATTTCAGTGTTGAGTTGGTGGTGCTGAGGATTCAGTGACATGCCATTGGAGATCACTGGTGTGTCAGATATGGTCTTTGGGAAGAAACCATTATTTTCTGATTCTGCTGAGGTAGTGAATGTGATGAGTAACTGAAAATTAGCAGGAGCTATATTCTGAAGCAGGAAGAGTAGTAAATGGAAGTTGCTGCTGGTATGGATGAACAATTCATTAGGTGCTAAGAGTTATTTAAATAAGGCAGGATGATAACACCTTTGAGGCTGGGAATTTTATGTTAGAAAACTCGTAAAATGGCATTGTTTTGAAGGAATGACACAAAAGAAATCTTGAGAGACAGGTGGGGATGGAGGAGTTTATTCACCACCAATAAGTTTTAGCTGCAGGATTTCAGAATGTATTGTCATGATATTATGTGCTGCACTGTCCTTTGTTATTTGCATTGTTTGTTTCTAATATTTCCTTTTGAACACGAGAGCTCTTATATTATATATACTCCGAATTTTGTAACAGAAAAGCAGAGGAATTATTAATTATCCTGTAGATTTTTTTCTTTTTTCATTTTCTTGGACTTGAATTTAAGAATATCGCAATTGTTCAATATGGGTAAACCAATCTTTATCAGGAGAACTCTGTTGTTTTCTGCTGTATTATTATTTAGGCTTAAATGCACTTTAGTCCTCTTATTTTGAAGTTTTTTAAAATTTAGTCCCCTTATTTTAAAAACCAGCTTTTTGATCCCTAAAGTTTACTTTCTTGGGATTTCCATGATACCCCTCTATTTAGCTGTCTCATTAATGACATGACACATGTGTTGTACATCCACGTCATATTTAATTAATATTTAATTTTACAATATCTAATTTTAGTATTAAAATAGATTTTTAATTTAAATAATCACTAGGATAATTTTTTTCAATATTTTTTTAAGTAATTAAGTTTTCTCAGAGTTAATAATTTAATAAGTTTTCAAAATTAATATTTGGGCATTGGGTATTGCCTTATGAAATATTAATGCTAATAATGTTGGTCACACTCTTTCATTGTTACATGTTACTCTCATTAAGTGTGTTAGTGCTTTATAAACACTAATTTTATTTCTATCTAAATTGAGGTGAGACTTTATTGGCCACTCAATAAACACTGTTGTTTATTTTTTCCTGCAACCATATCTTGTTTTTGTTAAGCATCAAATATTCCAACTTGTGATTATTTCTTCTTGCAACCATAACTAGTAGATGTGAGGCTTTAAAGATACACAAAACCAACAAACAACAATTCCTTGCAAATACATATGAAACCTTATGATTTAGCAACTTGTGATTATGCAACACTTTTTTTTCGACCTGTGAAGAGGAGATAAATCCACTGTGTTTCAAATACTAGCAATTTCCAAGAGCATCGTTGTTCTTTGTCTAAGGTTAAGTTGTAGAAGTTGAGTTCATAATTATTTTTTCAAATGAAGATCTATAATGATGCTGCAGGTATGTGTGTGTGAAGGTATGTGCATTATAGTTGTTGCTGCAGCTATGGATAAATGAGTAGAATTAAATGTAGATGAAACAACAAGACATATAAATGTGTTAACACAAATAGTTTTGTAAGTTTTATGGTTTTTAGTTTGACAACAATTTTGTTAAAACAAGTTCACAGTAAGATGTTGAGACAAATGTTTTGACAAGTCAGTTAGACAGCATGTTCAGCATGATGTTGGGACATGTGGCAGGACATGCTATACCAGAAGATTAGGGCTGAGACGATTTGATATCTAAAGTGTAAAATTTGATTGTATTTTAATTCACACAGTGTCGCAATCCAAGGACAGATATTTTAGGAACTTCTGTCTTTACAGATTTGCATGTTTTTCATAAAAAGGATATTCGAGACTTTTAAAGAAACTTTCAATTCAGTTCTTATTTATGTGCAGAAGATCTTGCAGAAGATTTGAAGTTGTTATTTTGTGATTTACGTTTTATTTTATTGAAGAGGCCAAACCCATGCTAATCTGAAGGCTATTTAAAGAGGAGTTCTAAACCTAATGCAAAAGGAGAAGCCGTGTATGGAAAGAAAGAGAATTAGGGTTTAGAGAGTTTGTTCTTCTTGTTATTTGTTCTTTGTGATCCTCTCTTATGTCTTTTGACATTTGAGTTTGACTGTTTTTATTTGTGCATTTGTGAGGCATTCATGTGCTCCTTAGGTACTTGAATTGGACTGTGTTTTTGAGCTGTAATCACTCCTAAGCTTTTAAGCAAAGAGTGGATTTTTGTGTCTTTGAAAGTGGGACTTCCTTTCTTCTTTATTGTTGAGTTTTGTCACTGTTGTGTGTCTGGTGGGAAGTGAGAGGGGTCTCATATTTAGGAGTTCCTAGGTAGAAGTTAGCACGAGTAGTGATTAGGTGAGAAGCTTGTAAACTTGTGGGTGTTTGCTGTGGCTTTGAACTAATACTATTATAGTGGATTTCCTTCCTAGCTTGGATGCTCCCAGATGTAGGTGATGTTGCATTGAATTGGGTTAACAATTGACTGTGTTACTGTTTACATTCAAGTTTTTATTTTTCTGCATAAGTGTTGTTTGCTGTATTGATCCCAGTGTCATGACATCTATTTAACATCTGATATCTGTGTGTCAGAATTTCAATTGGCATTAGAGCAGGTCACCCTGTTCTGTTTTGGGTGAGATCCAGGGAGATATCCTTTCTGGCATAATGGACAAGGAAGCAGGAGGGAATGTGAACAAACCTCCCATCTTAGATGGAACCAACTATGACTATTGGAAGGCACGCATGACAACCTTCTTAAAATCTATGGATAGCAAAG